TTGGGCACACCACCAGTTGAAAGTTCCCCTCCTAGCCATTCACCATTCTGACTTGAGAATATATCACTATTCCTTCACTGATACAGGGTCAAAATCCTGAAATTCCCTCCCTAACAGCATTGTGGGTCTGACTGCAGCAGTTCAAGAATGCAGCTCACTATCATCTCTCAAGGGCAACTGGGGGCAGGCAGTAAATGCTGGTCAGTGACACTCGCGTCCCACGAGTGGGGGAGAAACCTCTCTCGCATACAAGACATCTGGTGAAGATTCGATCTGACTGTGCTCCTCATTTTTCAATGGTCAAGGAGAATACCAGCACTCCTTTTGTCCAGGAAATGAGAGGAAGTTAATGACAATGTAGAACCATCTATTCGTAATAAACTTCTTAGGCGCAGGAATCATCTGATCTGCTGACTTATTACATTTACAACCTTGTGTGCTGCTACTTCTTTTCAGTATGGTCCGCATCAGCCTCTAGGCTTCTGGAATTCCATGGTGCTGTTCTATATTATAAATTCCCACTCCCTCCCCAATTCTTGGTGCAGGGACAATGTAGAGTTAAACTTAATACGTGACTTTAATTTGACCAAGCTGCTTTGCTAGATTGTGGCCTACACAAATGTATTTATTGTTTGACCTAATCTTGGGACTCCAGATTAAAAGGATGTTTACTTTTTAAGGCTAGTATTTATTCCAATTAACAATTACGACTTTTGAAACATCATGATGTAACTTGTGAAACTGTGAGTATCTTGTAATACCACCCCCATTCTTATAGTGTGACACTCTGAGTAACGTTGCCAATTTACATCAAATCTGTCAACCTCATACATAATTGAATTTTTTTAAGCCATAAAGGGGAAATTTCTTTCCCTTCACTTGGATTTGAACCCCACTTCCAGATTTGGAAGGTCAGTGTTCACCCTAAGTAACATATTAAGCAAGTGAACAGGATAAACCAGATTTTAACAAAGCTGAACAATTCTACTCTGAATTCCAAGTTACTAATGACCTGTTTTTGAATGAACTCCACAGAATATTTGTGTTTGCATAGGATAGCTCAGCCCACTCTCAGACTAATTTATGTTTGTAGCCCACTAACAATTATAGCACTTAAACTAATTTGCCTGGTGGTGGGTGGCACTGCGGGGTGTGGAATCCAAAGATAATCTTTAGCAGGGGAAGATGAACTGCCAAAATCAGAAGTGACACCAAGTGAATAAAGAAGACATGGATTTAATAGACCAGTCAAAGCACAAGGGAGTTTGGCACGGTGGGATAGTATTTATTTTAAGGCAGATGAGTTGGGAATGATGTCATTGCTATTACTGAGACATGATTGAGAGAGGGACAAATTGGCAGCTCAATATTTCAGGATACATGGTGTTCAGGTGAGACAGAAGGCGCCAAAAGAGAAGGAGGTATTGCAGTTTGGGTCAGGGAATCTATTACGGCAATAAAGAAGGATGATATCTTAGAAGGCTCCTCAAATGAAGCCATATCGATAAACTTAAAAACCAAAAGGGGGCAATCCCATTGTTGGGAGTGTTCTATAAGCCCCAAACAGTCCCTAAGAAATAGAAGAGAAAATATGTAGGCAAATTTCAGACATATGTGTTTAAAAAAAATAGGAGATTTCAACTTCTCCCAACATTAACTGGGATGAAATGAATCCCAGGTTGTTGAGTGACCCAAGGGAGGAAATGGAGGCATTTGCAAAAATTTTCAAGTCCTCTCTGGCCACAGGAGAGACACTGGAGGACAGCCAATGTGGTACTTTTATTCAAGAATGGAGCAAGGGATAAACCAGGAAGCCAGACTGCTCAGTCTAACTTCAATGGTGGAGAAACTATTGGAAGTAATTCTGAGGGACAGAATTAATGTGCATTTGGAGAGGCAAGAACAGTCAGCATAGCTTTGTTAAAGGGGAGGTCATGTCTGACCAACTTGATTGAATTGTTGAAGAGGTGACATTGAACAGCTATGTAGATGAGAGATGTATTTTGATGTAATCTACTTGGACTTCAAGGTTTTTGATAAGGTCCCAGATGGGACACTGATGGCAAACCTAAGAGCCCATGGGATCCATGAAAATTTGGCAAATTGGATGCACAGTTGACTGAGTATCAGGCACAAGAGGGTGATGAATGAGGGGTCTCACAGGGGTCAGTGTTGAACCCTTTCTGTTTGTGGTTTATGTAAGTGATTTAGACTTGAATGTAGGAGGAAGTAAGTTTGCAGACAATACAAGCATTGAGGTGGTAAATAACCTTAAACTACAAGAAGCCATGGATGGGCTGGTCAGATGGATTAATCAGTGATGCATGGAATTTAATCTGATAAATGGGTGAGGTGATGCACTTACAGAATAAACAAGGCAAAGGAATACGTGATGAATGGTAGGACCCTGGTGTACATATTCACTGGTCCCTTAGGGTATCATGACAGGTGGATAAAGTGGTTGAGAAATTATACGGTATACTTGTCCTCTTGTCAAGACATGGAATTTGAGGTTATGCTGGAACTGCATAAAGTCTTGGTTAGGACACAACTAGAGTATTGTGTGCATTTCTGGAATCTAGATTATAGGAAGGACGTAATAGCACCAGAGAAGGTGCAGAGGAGATTTACCAGGATGTTAGATAACGCGGTGTAGAGCTGGATGAACACAGCAGGCCAAGCAGCATCTTCCTGCTCCTATGATGCTGCTTGGCCTGCTGTGTTCATCCAGCTC